CTTAAAATAATATTGCTTTTTTTTTTTTCTTTCTTTCTTTCTTTTTTTTCTTTTTTAATTCAGATGATGAGTTGTATATCAACTAATAATCAATAAGATAATAATCTTGTAATTTAGTTATCAGTTTGTGACAAATTCAAGGTTTAGGAAAAAGAAAGATTATATTTTTGTAGTATTTTTAATTGACTACTAAATAATAATTATATGTTGATTATTAAACTATTAGAGTTCATCAATGATGTTCAACATTGGTCAAAGCTATTTATATGAATTAAAGTCATAGTCTCCAAAGAATAATATAAGACAAATAAAAAAATATGCCAGCATAAAAAATTGATGTGATTAATTGAGAGATTTGGTTATCAACTCCCAGAATTTTAGATTTTAGTTTCTCATAATTGAGATGTGTGTGAGTTTGCTTTGTTGGCCTAAATGTCCCCAATAAAATATTAATTAAGAAAATTGATTTAAATATAACATATTTAAATTTTAAAATAAATATTTACGCACCATCGTAATCTACCACATGATCACCTTATTTTTAAACAGTTTTTTTAATTATTTGTTTAATAATTAGATTTTTTTAGATTAATTATATTTAATTATTTATCTATTTAATTTTATTTTTTAAATATACATCATCAAAAATCAACTTTTATCTATTTATTAATTATAAATAATATAACACTAATAATTTATAGATGTAAAAATATAATGTTAATTTGATATATAATTTATGATTATAAATTTTATCTAAATATAAAATATAAATTAATAATATTTTTTAATATTTTATATTAAATTTAATATAAAGTTGTAATGTTTCCTATTTTTGGGTTAGATGTTTGATCCAATTTTCCCCACCTTCAAATTATGAAATCTATTTTTTTAAGTTTGGCGGAAGGCCCAATCAACAGTCAAAACCGCGGCGCTCGTGCCTCCTCCTTTAAATAGGAAAGAAAAACTGAACGGCTTATTCACAAACAGAACAGCTACAGAGATCGCAGGAAAACCTCAGCTCCGAATTTCTCTTCATAAAAAGGTGCTTATCAATATTCTAATCCCTTTTTTTCAATCTCTTTCACTGAATCCAGAAATCTATTTCTTCATATCTTCCCAAATTATTCACAAATCACAAAAAAAATAGAGAAACTAATCTATCCTTCCACACATGATTCATCCAAAAAAATCATGAACTTGTAATTAAAAGATTGCTTGGATTCATCGATCGTCGTTAATTCCTGTGATCTTCAAAGGCAACATCGACGAATGGCGAATTCGACATGTCTGCAGCCGATGAAGGCGACTTCAAACGGGTCTTTTCAAGGCGACAGTCCGCTCGATTTCGCTCTGCCGCTAGCGATCCTTCAGATCTGCCTCATCGTCGTCCTCACGCGAACCCTAGCTTTCCTGCTTCGCCCCCTCCACCAGCCCCGCGTCATCGCTGAAGTCATTGTGAGTTTTCCTTTTTCTTTATTTTTTCAACCGATAATTTTTCTTTGTAATCATCATCATTGCATTAATGATCATTAAATTGAATTCTGTCATCTTCTCCTGTTTCTTAAAAATACTCTTTATTGATTTCGTATATAAATTTATCCTTTTTTACAAATAAGAATACTTCAGCTGATTACAGAAAATTCTAATTATTACATTGCAGAGATCACTTATTACCTTCTAATGATGTTTTCAAGAATTTTCTTCTCGTTATGTTAAGATAAGAGATGCAAAATACATTATGATGAATTAAAAAAAAAATCTTTTATTTAAAATTAATAAAACTCAGAAATTATACGTAATATTAATTCTAATATAAAATCAAAAAAAAAATCGTATCATTTTTGAGCTGATAGATTAAAGCGATGATGCTGTTGATCATGAGTTATATTTACTTAAAATATTCTTTATTGATTTACTATAGAAATTTATCATTTTTCGCAAATAAGAACTCTTTAGCTGATAATAGAAATCTCCAAAAAAATACATTGCAGAGATCATTTCTCACCTTCTGATGATCTTTTCAAGACTTTTCTTCTCATTATGTTAATAAGATATGTGATGCAAAATACATCATAGGAATTTAAAACCAACAATTTTTTTCGTAGATTATAGTGATGATGTTAGTGATGCAATAATAAACTGTGTAATTGCAGGGCGGCATTCTGTTAGGGCCGTCGGCGCTGGGCCGCAACAAAGCGTTCCTGAACGTCATTTTCCCCAAACAGAGCTTGACAGTGCTCGACACGCTCGCCAACTTCGGCCTTCTCTTCTTTCTCTTTCTAGTGGGTCTCGAAATCGACCTCAACTCCCTCCGCCGCACTGGAAAACGAGCACTCTCCATCGCCGTCGCCGGCATTTCTCTGCCTTTCCTCCTCGGCATCGGCGCCTCTGTTGTCCTCCGCAACACCATCGCCGACGGCGTTCGCGGCCCCTCTTTCCTTGTCTTCATGGGTGTCGCTCTATCCATCACCGCCTTCCCTGTACTTGCTCGAATCCTCGCCGAGCTGAAGCTTCTCACCACCGACATTGGCCGCATGGCCATATCCGCCGCTGCTGTCAATGATGTTGCCGCCTGGATCCTCCTCGCTCTCGCCATTGCCCTTTCAGGCTCTCGATCACCGCTCGTGTCCCTTTGGGTTCTCGTCACCGCCGCTGCCTTTGTCGCCATTGCATCCTTCGTTATTCGCCCTGTTCTGGCGCGGATGGCTCGTCGCTCACTGGAAGGGGAACCGGTTAAGGAAGTTTATATCTGCGCCACCCTCACCACCGTCCTCGCCGCCGGTTTCGTTACAGACACCATTGGAATACATGCTCTGTTCGGGGCCTTTGTGGTGGGGATTGTGATGCCAAAGGAAGGACCTTTCGCTGGTGTTCTTATCGAGAAAGTCGAAGACTTAATCTCTGGCCTCTTCCTGCCCCTCTACTTCGTCTCCAGCGGCCTCAAAACTAACGTCGCCACCATAAGCAACGGCAAGTCCTGGGCGCTTCTTGTTCTAGTCATCTTCAACGCTTGTCTAGGCAAGATCGGTGGCACAATCCTCGCTTCCGTCATTATGAAAGTCCCCATTCGCGAGGCCCTCGCTCTCGGCTTCCTCATGAACACCAAAGGCCTCGTTGAACTCATCGTCCTCAACATCGGAAAAGATCGCAAGGTAAACAATTTGGTGAATTCATTTTAAAGACTGGTTTTTGAGTCATGAAAACGAATCAATTACAGGTTTTGAATGACGAGACATTTGCAATCATGGTAATCATGGCTCTGTTCACGACGTTCATAACGACGCCGATCGTGATGGGGATCTACAAGCCGGCACGCAAGGCAGCTCCATACAAGCATCGAAAAATCGAGCGTGATGACACCGATAGCCAGTTGCGAATCCTCGCCTGCTTTCATGGCAGTCGCAACATCCCGACCCTCATAAACCTCATCGAATCCTCCCGCGGCACCCGCCACCGCGGCGTTACTGTCTACGCCATGCACCTAATGGAGCTCTCCGAGCGCCCATCTGCAATCTTCATGGTCCACAAAGCTCGTCGCAACGGCCTCCCCTTCTGGAACAAAAAGAAAGATAGCACAATCGGCGACCAGATCGTCATCGCATTCCAAGCCTATCAGCAGCTCAGCCGCGTCACCGTCAGGCCAATGACCGCCATTTCCGACCTCCACACCATCCACGAAGACATCGTCACCAGCGCCCATCAAAAGCACGCAGCTTTAATCCTTCTCCCCTTTCACAAAACTCTGCTTTTTGACGGATCTATGGAATCCATCGGCAACGAATACCAACAAGTGAACCAGCGAGTCCTCCACTACGCTCCTTGCTCTGTCGCCATCCTCGTCGATCGAGGCCTGGGCGGCTCTGCTCAGGTTTCCGCCAGCGAGGTTTCGTACTCCGTCGTCGTCCTGTTCTTTGGCGGTTCGGATGATCGGGAAGCGCTCGCTTACGGCCTCCGCATGGTCGAGCACCCTGGAATCGTCCTCACCGTACTTTGCTTCAACAATGACGATGAATGCATTGGCCGATTGCGGGAAAGCACAGACGGATCGGTGAGGTTTGAGAAGAGACCGACGGGGAAGGAGGAAATCGTGTCCGCCATTAAAGGGGTGGGGAGATGCAATCTGTTTCTGGTTGGGCAGAGGGCGCCGGTGATGGAGTTGGCGGACCAGATCGAGTGCCCGGAGCTCGGCCCGGTGGGGAGTTTCATGGCGGCGTCTAACACGACCGCCGCATCTGTGTTGGTGATCAGGCAGCACGAGGACGATGCGGTGACGAATCTGTTGGTAGAAGAGGTGGCTGAAGAGGCCCTTTCACCAGACACTCCACACGCCGGTGGCTCCGTCCACGGCGAGTTTAATCCGCTTTGACTGCGCATTAGTATGATTAGTTATATGCAGATCCTGATATGCAATTCAAAATTTTATTTTATTTTTTATGTATGGTACTCGTATAATCTATTTTAGTCTGAGGCCATGCTTGTTCTGGTCCTCTGGTCGTGTTAGTTTAATGATTCTTCTTTCTTTATAATGGGTCATTCATGCTTTTGTATGGAGAATTATGCATGATATTGGCCCAAATATTTATATAATACCTTAATTTATATATTGTCATCCCCTTTTGTCTTAGTGTTGCATCAACTTTTCTACTATGGGCAAGTAGGGACTAGTGAATTCTGAGTGAAGCTTTCACCGGTAAAACCTGAGAAATGTCATTTTAGACCTCGAACATTTTTCGATGCGTCGCAACGCGTTTTAAGTGAAAAATTCAAAGTTCGACGAAAATAATTTTATAAAATTCTACGTAAAATTCTAAGAAATTTGATATATAAAACTTATATTTATTTTTTCTTAATGTTGAATTTAAAATTAAGAGAAGACTCATAATTCCTATTTTATTAGGTTAATATGATTTTGCTCAAGTCAAATCATATATACATACATAAGTCAAGGAGATTGCGAAATCATATTAATATTTACAGAAAACAAAACTATCATTTCATTTATTCCAGCAAAAGATGTGAAACAACCAGGTTTGGAGGAAGAAAGCTTCTGATTCTGTAAAGTAAAATTAGAAGATACGATCTACTTCAAGACTCAAAAAGAAAATAAAAGATTAAAGAGAGAATAAAAAGTGATTAATAATAACTGGACAAAACTATATAATTATAAGTTGTGGATCACAATCATGGGAGGAGAAAGTCCAATGTCACGAATGGTCATAAGAGCAGTACCCAGTCCAATAGGACTGACTATTAGGTGAGAGCATTTGGTATTTTCTGAAGGCTGAACACTGTGTGTCATTTGTAACAGCATCTAGAAAGCAAGTCCCTCCAGAAATAGACAAATTTGCCTTCGAACCAAGAGATAGAAGAAAAAAATTAAACATTCTACCATGATAAATAAATAAGAAAAGAAAGCACAACAAAATTGCTAACCAATTAAAGAAAAAAACTAAGGCATGCAGGCATTTTTTTATGAATGTGTTTTACTTGATGATTTCCACAAATCACAAGGTTGTGACGAAAATAATATTTTAGTAGCCTAGAAGCAAGAACTTGGTAGCCAAAAAAAGACAATTATTTGCATTAGCTTTAACGTAAATCCTATAAAACAGATTTATGGATTTGGAACAACCCTTCATTTTTTTTCTAAAGGAATCGACGAGCACAGATTTAATATTTTCTAGCCAATTCCTTTTAGATCTACCTCAACCTTTCTTAACATAATTCAAATCTAATAAATTTACTCTCCTAACCGAGTCATCGGAAGATCGCTGTTTTAAGAACAATTTCTTGGAAACATTAAATTATAATAGAGTAGGCAACAATCACAATATGGGGAAAATGCTGAAAGGTGTAAGATCAGTAGGGGATTCATTGTTTCAGTGATGCTAAAGCTGGAATCAAAGCAAAATATGATACTTTGAAAGTAATAAACATAGAACTCTTATCATCAATATATATGAATTTCAAAAGGAAGCAAACAAGAAATTATCTTCATCCTATACACCGGATTATTATGGATGAAAGATTCTTAGAGCAAAATATCACCAATAACCACCTTTTCACTAGATTTAAAAAAAAAAACACACATACCTTTGCTTCGGGATCAAAAACTATTAAGAGAAACTCTCGCAATACTCTCAAGGAAGGCACCAACTGTTAAATTTACAGCATTTTCAATGGAAAAACACAATAAAGAAAAATAATAGCAAGAGAAACAGAAAAAAGGTGACAACATAACATTACCAAGGAAAGTTTATATCATTTAATTTAACATACCTGTAACTGCAGAGCATCCGTAGGAATACCAGTTGCACTTTCAAACCGCAGATATTCTTTTCCCAAGGGATGGCTAACCATGGTTTTAGAGAAGCCAATAACACTAGCACGAACAGTGCACTAAATTCCAATAATATGAAAAATGAGAACATAATTTCAAAAAGTTTCTGCACTATAACGCAAGCATTGATTTTTGAAACTATAATGCAAGCATTGAATTTTAAGGAAACTTAATAGGTATGCAGAGAAAAAAAATAACCGTTTTGTTTTTTCTAAAATACATAACTTTAAGAATACTTTCTTTATAGCAAGTTCAGATGTAGACTTTCACTATGTCAACACAACCAAATGCTGATTTTATATCCTCAAGAACTCATCAACTTGCAAATTTTTGTTCAGACTTATGGGCTCATTCACTAATGTCAAATGACAAGGTTAATAATGAACTAAAACCCAAGAAAAATCCAATAGAGGAATGTGACTATACTGTGCCTGAAACTTTTAGGGCATAATGCTAAAGAAAAGGTAATGTTTAGTTTGCAAATGCAGAAATACAATGAATCCAAAAAACATTAATTAAATTAATTCGCTCACTCTATGTAAGAATACACCAAAGTCCAACTCAAGAAAAGAATGTGATGATGAGCAGAAGCGGAAGTTAAGATTTTAGCAGATTTTGAATTCTTTTATTTTTAATGAGAGGAGAATATAGTGTAGAGGAAGAGCTGGAGAGGTAAATGACAAGAAATCAAGGGAATTGATTATGCTTCATTTCAGCATTTATCAAGTATTTATATGATCCTAAGATGGCTTATAATAGGAAAAATATAAAATAAGGGCTTAAATTTTAACTGTACTATTAATTACATTAGGATAACAAACATGGATCGCTCACTTTTTTGCCTGCTAGGGTTTTGCTTCCTTTGCGTTTCTCTGGCGGCCGCCACCTCCTTTCCTCCTGGGAGGACATCCCCGGTGATGTCCTCCTCTTTCATTCCCGCCCGCAACTCATCCTCTTCCTCTTCTACTCTTCCTCTTGATGATTGGAAGAGTCTTTTTGCTTCCCAACCGCTCGTTTCAAACGAGTTTACCTCTTCGATCATCCACCATCCCACTGAAAATGCTACTGCACATTTTACTACTGCCCAGTTCACTGCTGGCTCGACGGAATGGGCCCTTTCCTTGGTCGGCTACTCGATCGGCAGGCGTCCGTACTATGAGGTGCTGCTATCCACAATCAAAAAGACATGGAACTTGAAAGGTTCTCTGTCTCTGCTAACCCTAGACGAAGGATTTTTCCTCCTAAAGTTCAACAACCGTGAAGACTACGACATGGCCTGGTCTGGTGGACCATGGTTCTTTTTTGGAAAGCCTTTTATCCTGCAGAAGTGGACGCCGGAATTTGTCCCTGTTCGTGAGGAGTTCCCCTCAATTCCGTTGTGGATCAAGATAAAAAATTTTCCGCTCTCTTGCTGGACGCCGGAGGGTATTTCCAAGATTGCGAGCTGTGTTGGTATTCCCCTCGCCGTGGACGCCCTCACGGCGGCAAAAACGAGACTCACCTTCGCTAGGGTGTGTGTTCAGGTGAGTAGCTCTTCTCCTTTGCCGGATGAGATCTTCTATACCGTGGATGACAAAACCTTTTCTTTAACCGTGTTATACGACTGGAAGCCTTCTCACTGCTCTTTTTGCAATTCCATCATGCATCCCCCCAATGCATGCCCCAATAATCCTAACCCTCAGACTTCTGACCCTCCACAAAATCGTGGTAGAAGCACTAGCAGGAAGCCAAGGAAACTGCCACCAAAATTGAATATTCCTAAACCTCCACCTCCTAACACCTTCCAAACTCAGCCTCAATTACCTACCACTTCTGCAGTCATTCCTCCCCCTTCTGCAGTCATTCCTCCCCCTTCTGCTGCTGATATAGGCCCACAAATCCCCAATCTTAACTCCCCGTCTGAGGTCTCTGTTCCACCCTCTCCTACCTTCACTAATGTCCCCACCCACATTTCCCGCTCTTCTCCTCCTGTCCCCACTAAAAATAAATTTGACGCTCTCTGTCTCCAGGAGCCTTCTACTGACATGCCTCCTACACAGACTATCTCGCAGCCTTCCTCGTCTTCTCCCCAACCAGGCCAATTTAACAAACCTCCTGACTCAACCAGCAAGACTTCTGCCTCCAGCAACTGTAATTCTAATCAGCAACATATGATGAATAGCACCAATGCCAAAACAACAAGAGCCAAAGCGGCCAAAAAGGCCACAACTCCCACCTCCAAGTCCCAATGACCAGGCTTCCTCTCTTGGCGTCCTGGAATACCCGCGGGTTTAATAGCCCAGACAAAGTTTTGTGTTGCAAAAATCTTGTTAAAAGCTTTAATCTTGACCTTCTCTTCCTCCTGGAAACCAGAATCTCTTCCCCCTCTCACCTTAATCCCTGGTTTAAATCCACGCACTCTGTTTTTCCCAACGAAGGTTCTTACGATAATTTTGCTTTATCGTCTCCGGGCCGTATTTGGATAAAGTGGAACTCCTCTAATGTCACTTTCAAGCCTATATTTACTTCCAGTCAGCTTATTCATGGGTCTGTTTTTTCGGGCCCTTTGGAGGTTTATTGTGTCTCTGTTGTATATGCTTCGAATTCTCTGGATGAAAGGCTTACTCTCTGGAAAGATCTTGCTGATGTTGCGGATGGTATTACTTGCCCCTGGATTATTCTAGGGGATTTCAATTGCTGCAGATATTCTTATGAGAAAGCTGGTGGTTCCTTTCTTGCGCACAACAAACTGTCTGATTTTAATAATTTGATATTTAATATTGCTGTTCATGATCTATCCTCTATAGGGCATTATTTTACTTGGTTTAACCAAAGATCAGACAACCCTATACATATCAAACTTGACAGGATGCTGGTTAACGATAGATGGCTTGATACCTATCCTACATCATTTTACGTTGTGGATAGCCCACAGATATCTGATCATTCTCCCCTCATCTTGCAAATGGATCATCGTATACAACAGAAGCACCGGTTCCTTTTCAAAAATTATTGGCTTTCCAACCCTGAATTTTGGGATTCCCTTATTCAAGTCTTCTCTCAAAGGCACCACAGCAGTCCCATTTATGCTTTTTTCCAAAAGCTCAAAACCCTCAAGATCAAGATTAAGTCCAAGCATTGGGTCTCCTCCAATCCTCTTCAGTTAGAATTAGCTGACCTTAATTTTGCGCAAAACTCCCTGTTGTGCCAAATTCAGGCTACCCCCTCTGATCTGAAACTCAACCAGGCATTAAAAGATATCAATCGTCAACTTGCTGTCAAAAATTCGGACTGGTCATCCTGGATTATTCAACGTGCGAAGGCAAAATGGCTAACTAGTGGTGAGGATGACCTAAAATTTTTGTATTCCAGGATAAATGTCAGGCAAAATTCCAATCAGATCAAATCTATCATCACTGATGAGGGGACCTTCTCTATTCCTGCAGATATTAATAAGGCTATTGTTAAACATTTCCAAAAACTTTTCAACTCTACTCTGCCGCAGAGTTCATTCAGTCAGCCTGCTCCCACCCATCTTAAACTTCCTTCAAGCATCATTCCCCTTTTGGTGTCTCCTGTCACTGTTGAGGAAATTAAGAATGTTGTCTTCTCTTCTCCAAATTGCTCGGCTCCTGGACCCGATGGATATACGTTTGAATTCTACAAATCTACTTGGAATACCATTGGTAATCAACTTTGTGAGGCTGTTTTATCTTTCTTTTATACTGGATCCATGCCTAAGCAGGCTAAAGCCACTGTTATAGCCCTAATCCCTAAAAGACCACACGCCCAGGAAATTTCGGATTACTGGCCTATATCTTTATGCAATACTTTCTACAAGATCATTGCCAAGATCCTTGCCAATAGGATGAAAGATGTAATGCCTTTCATTATTCATCCAAGTCAGTCTGGATTTATCAAGGATAGAATTATCTCTGACAACATTCTTTTAGCGGCTGATCTCCTCAAAGAATTCAACTACAGTCCTAAGCATCAGTTCTTCTGCGCAAAATTTGATATCCATAAGGCATTTGACACTGTTTCTAGGAAATTCCTGATTGAACGTCTTCTTGCCAAAGGTTTTCCTGAAACTTTTGTTTCTTGGATTGATGGCTGTATCTCTGACGTTTACTTCTCTGTTTCCATTAATGGGGGGCCTGAAGGGTATTTCCCATCTTCTTCTGGCCTTAGGCAAGGGTGCCCTTTATCACCATATTTATTCTGTATAGCCATGGATAGCCTATCCTCTTATTTTGAAGATGCTGGCTTAAATAACAACTTTTTGGGTTTGAAGGCTGGCAACACTACCATCTCCCACCTACTCTATGCTGATGATCTTTTGGTGTTTGCTATGGGCTCATTCACTAATGTCAAATGACAAGGTTAATAATGAACTAAAACCCAAGAAAAATCCAATAGAGGAATGTGACTATACTGTGCCTGAAACTTTTAGGGCATAATGCTAAAGAAAAGGTAATGTTTAGTTTGCAAATGCAGAAATACAATGAATCCAAAAAACATTAATTAAATTATTTCGCTCACTCTATGTAAGAATACACCAAAGTCCAACTCAAGAAAAGAATGTGATGATGAGCAGAAGCGGAAGTTAAGATTTTAGCAGATTTTAAATTCTTTTATTTTTAATGAGAGGAGAATATAGTGTAGAGGAAGAGCTGGAGAGGTAAATGACAAGAAATCAAGGGAATTGATTATGCTTCATTTCAGCATTTATCAAGTATTTATATGATCCTAAGATGGCTTATAATAGGAAAAATATAAAATAAGGGCTTAAATTTTAACTGTACTATTAATTACATTAGGATAACAAACATGGATCGCTCAGGTGGCATCCATAATCATAGATCAATGACATGGCAGTGGACTATACAGGAAAAGGGGAAAGAAGTGCTGTCAGGCTGGCAGAACCTTGCCACAGGTGACAAAAGGAAAAGCAGCTGGCATGGACTAGTTGGGGATGGACAACCTGCGGAGCAACTGGCTAGAGGGGTCCCAGCGTGATGCTTGGAGAATTTCCAAGGAGCACTTGGATACTTTTAAGGAATGATTTGAAGACTGATTTCAACAGTACAGAGGAAGTTCCAGGGAACAAAGAGATTAAGAATATCAAAATATTAAATGTGGCAATGGGAAAAAGGTGGGAGCAAGAAAAAATTAAAACAAAAAGTGAACTCCAAAACGTACAGACATAAGGATTGAGGGACGACCAAAAAAAAAAGGGAAGAACTGCTAATTTTCTTTATTAGATAATCAGCCCATCCATTAATTGCATATCATGGCCTATTACTGATAATAATTTCCATACAAAGGGCATTCTAACCCTAATAACATTAACAATATAACAAGCATGTCTAAAATGAAAAATAGTCATATTACAAAGGACAGTTAACAAAATGAAAAAGAAGAACCGTGATATAAACATAAGATAATAATGACTAACCATGTCGCTAAAGATAAAACATTGATAAAATAACATAAATTGACTATTTAAATATAATTAAAATAATAAAAAAAAGGAACCAAGGGTGATAATTGAAAGTAGGCATCTTGCATCATATCATAACGTAATTCTTATTATGAAGCATAAATATCTAAAGTATAAGAAAATGGAAATCATTTGTAACCTCATACAATAATGGAGATGAACATGACAAAATGATGAATACAACACAAACGATGGCACAAATTAAGCTAACTATAGACAGGAACAAATTAGTTTTCAATGAATTTCAACTAAATATAGTAAAATAACATTAATGTTGAATGTTTAAAGTAAGGGTTCAATACAAACCAGTCCAGAAATTTTGTTAAGAACTAGAAACCTCTCCCAACTGTTATTCATTGATCTCTTGTAACTCTCATTGTCCCTCCAATAAGCCAGATCCTTACAACCAGGAAGTTCCCAACTCAAGCATAAAGACCATGAATTTGCAAAAACTTTTTTTTGTAATATGTAGACCAACAGCAGCTATGCGTATGGTACATCCATAGGCCACTGTGATAGGAGAAGAACGAACTTGACAAAGACCACGGTCAGCATTTGCAGCAATCTCTATAACATCGAGAATATTTGCTGTTTTGAAAAATAAAAACAGTTAGGAATTGAAATTTAAAATGAAGACAATTTGTAAAATTCATCGCCAAACATATTAACTTTGGTAAGAATGCTCTATGATGATTTTTCTTCAATAACTAGAATACATAGTCCACACACCAAGGATGCAAGAAAATAAAAGGCATTATATCCCATACCAGGTTCATTAGCAACAAGTGCAATGGATGAAGGAAAGCTACACATAACAGACAATTCCAAGTTTGCTATAGTTGCCACAGGATGGTTAACGCCAACAAGGTTTCCCCGTGAAAAGAGAAGTTTCTGTTCAGCAAAGGCAAAATATCAGAAAGGAGCAAGTCTACTTTTAAAATTAGCACGTCAGTGAAGGTAAATAGGAAATATCTTGATACTTATAAGGTGCATACAAACTGCCCCACGGAAAGGCATAGAGCTGTGTACAATCTTCTCCCATTGCAGTGTGTCTGCCGCACCTGAACACCATCTGTTACAGGTAGATCTTGTTCACCAGTAACTTCAACACTTTCAACATACTCAACATGTAGATCCCATCTTTCAGGTCCTCCACTTAAATGGACATCCATAGCATAGCCAGGGGCAAGATACAACTCATCCAAAGCAGTAGAGTACGAATGTTTGATTCCATTATTTATTTCAGGCACATCAATCCAGTAGCCTCCAAATCTATTTCCATTTCCTGCCTGGTAAGCAACAAGTGGAGAATATGCAGCTATAGGAAAAGCTTTTTTTTAAATTAAAGGCCCATCCATGAAATGGAAAGGAGAATGTAAGTCAATCGACAAAGTTGCATGTAGCATGGCTCGGCCAGTACCATAAGCAAATAAACAAGTCAATGCACAAGGATGAACATAGGTTTGCTTGGAGATCTCTGTGAGATGGAGCATGTCGGCTTCACATATCTTCTCAGTTGTGTTCAGAGCTCTGAAAGTTTCACTTTCAGAAAAAAACATTCCACTTCATGAAAGAGTTGAAAGCATCACATTGATAAAAGTAGTTACCTAAGGTAATACAAATTAAATTGCCAATCAAACTTTATTAAAACGTATTGAAATAAAAAATACATTAAATTACAAACTATGCACCATCAGATGTCTTTAAGCTCACAGCAGCTTTGAGTTCAGTTCCCACTGCCACCTCTACAGGATATATTGGAAGAACAACCATCGCAGAAGGTGAAGTAACTTCCAAAACAACCTATGCCAAATAAGAGTTGCCAATTAATTAGTCAAGCAAGCAAGATGTGCAACTCAATATGTTTGAAATTACAAGTTCTTCATACCATTCATTGCATAATGAAAGAATGGACCAACTAAAATCTTCAAAATCAGCCAAAGGAACAACTACGAAAAGATGTTTAACATAATAGAGAAAAGTTGGAAAAGAATTTTCGGACCTTAGGCAAAGCATGCATTGCCTAACCTATTAGTGACAACTGGCATCACAAAACAAAGAATGCACTGCTTAAACTCCATCACTTTAAAATAGCTTACATATACAGTAAAAAAATAGTGACAGACTAAAATTTATTAGCAAGAAGTAAACTATATATATATATATATATAATGCAGCTTTGGTCCCACAGAATAACAGTATTGTGGGAATATTATAACATGATGAATAACTAGGCCGCGACGTTGTTGACAGCAGCGGCGGACATGGCCATGCGTCCGATGTCGGTGGTGAGAAGCTTTAGCTCGGCGAGGATTCGAGCGAGTACAGGGAAGGCGGTGATGGACAGAGCGACGCTCATGAAGACAAGGAAAGCGGGGCCGCGAACGCCTTCGGCGATGTTGTTGCGGAGGACTAAAGATGTGCCGATGCCGAGGAGGAAAGGCAGAGAAATGCCGGCGACGATGATGGAGAGGGCACGTTTTCCGATGCGGCGGAGGGAGTTGAGGCCGATTTCGAGACCCACCAGGAAGAGGAAGAAGAGGAGGCCGATGTTGGCAAGCGTGTCGAGCACTGTCAAGCTCTGTTTGGGAAATATGGCCGGCGTTCAGGAACGCTTTGTTGCGGCCCAGCGCCGACGGGCCTAACAGAATTCTGCCCTGCAATTACACATATTATTAGATCATCTCTAACCGAATGCCAAACGAGCGTATGCCGTCCGTCGGTCTCTCCAACCGAACGCAAAAATTTCCGTCATTTACTTGCAGGTGAACAGTGTGACGCCAATATTGAGCATCATAGAGATAAAATACCCAACCCGAGATACAATATATGAGAGCTATAACTATACAAGATTGGAGTAAGTTAAACACAAGATTTTTATAAGATATAAGAATTCTAATTAATGGCCAAGAGTCTATAAATGTTTATATTATATAATGAAACAAGATATGAATTCATATGACATGAATACATATATATCATGTAAATATTGAGAAAATTATAAGACCAAGATATGGATCATCTTATAAAATAAATAATTATGAATTTAAAAGTTATGTTAAATCACATATCTATAACTCATGAATCCTTTCTCGTGTGATTATTCAGTTGAGATATATATGAATGGTTTCATGCATATTATTTATGTATCATGTGTATTGATTTCAGTAATAGATTATGGTAATATACTTGGCTTTGTGCTCATTCTATGGTTGTTTTCATGTTTTCTGGTCAGGGTAGGAATCCAATGAACTGAGGCTGGCTAGGATCTGGAGGTTAGATATTTTTTATATTTTTTGCTTTATTTTTACTGTCATGGTTATTGAATAAATAATTGGAGTTATCTTGATATAATGGCTAATGGATATAATGATTTTGGGTTATGTAAAATATGTGAATATTCAGATGAGTAGTAATGCAATTATGTTTTCTATTGATTATATTATATGGATGAAATTAGTAAGCTCTAGTTAATGATTAAGAAGATAAAAAATAAATAATTCTTTCCAATTTAGATATTGGGGTGTCATAAATTGGTATTAGAGCAATAGCTTTTGAAAGATTTGGATTGTAACTAGAGCTTTAGGAAAGATTATGAGCATCATAGAGATAAGTAGCATATATTTTGTTATTTTACAAATTTGATTAGATACATATGTATGAACGTTAAGCATGTGTATTTGCCTAATTAGGAAGATAATAGTAGCAGTTAATAAATGGACCACAACGATCATAATGTACTAAATAAATAGTGTAGTTGCTCCAATCACTTTTGATAGCATGATACAATTTGCCAATTTACTAGTGCAAATTTTGAGTGATGTACAAAGTAAGTAGGGTGCGAGTAAGGACACTGAAGAAGATAAACACTTATGAATGTTTCACAAGTTGAAGCCACCCTTATTCAAAGGAGCAGTGGAATATAAAGCTACAAAGGATTGGCTATGGAGAATTGAGAAGAAAATTTACAGTATGTAGTGTCCAGCATCAAAAAAGTTAATCACAAAAACCTGAATCAATTAAAAAAACTTAAAATCAAAACTAATAAGATCAAATAAAATCAAATTGAATTAAAAATAAAATACTTATTCCAATTTTTTCTAGGTCTTATTTAACTTCTATTATACTCTTCAGTATTGATGTGAATGTTGAGAGTTCAAGTAACTCAATAATGTCCTAAATTTTTACACTTTGAGACCATTGAATCCCTCATGCAATCCTTGAGTGAGAGCAGCTTGAGCCATTTATTGCTCTAGAACTTTAATTTCTAGCTTCTTTAGTTTAACTTCATAATGATGTTTCTTAGGGAGCACCCAACTCTTGAATCTTTTTTTATAGTAAGGTATGAGAATTCTTCTGCACCGCTTCTTGAACTGATAAAATATATTATTGTCCCTAGCAAAAAGCACAAGAATCACTTGAGGGATGACTTCTTGAAAGTAATAACAAATAATTAAACTTTAATGTATCATTCACATAAAACAAGGATGTAACTGATTCAAAATAAGCCATATGACCTGCATGATTCATCGTTTTGTTATAGGAGTCTAGGTTAATAATTTTGAAATCTGTCAAGCGCTTTGCCACCGAGATTTCTCTTGAAAATGCATTAGCCAATTAGGATATTACTTCTCATTTGCTTGGGGAGGGAGACTAGATTCTTTGTCAATGTGGTCATAGCAGGTTACATTTATTACTAAGGAGAAGATCCTTCTGGCATCTCTACCTCCTGAATGGTTCTATGAACAAGCTCCAATTTTCACTGTATCATTATTATGATCCTTTCTTACATAAAAATAGAAATATAAATAGAAAGATATGATGTAATAAGGGAAAAAAAAAAATTAAATTTCACAATGTTACCACAGATACAAGATTTGGACCACGTGCCAAAATCTTCTCTTATCAGATATTTATAGGTTCAGGGTGAGGCTTTGACACAACATGAAAATTAACATTTAAGCTTTACAAACAAAAGAAAATACATAATAAATTTTATCCCAAAATTATATACGAAAGGTATAACCTTTGACGATTAATTGAGTTTATCACCAATTGAAGTAGCGGACTTGCACCATAAAGTTGCTCGTTGATTGGAGCAAGTTGCCGACTTGTAAATGAATGCTGGCAAATAGTTTCTTAAGGCTGAATATGTTCTTATGATAAACTTATTATAACTGGGGAGTTCTTAATGATTATGATATTAATTGGCTCAATTTGAACTGAATTTATATGTACATTGAGCTGCATAATGCAAATGCATAACAACTGTCTATTATATATTTTTTGGAGAAAAATCTATTTTAGAGGCAAATTATTTTGTGCGGAGATCACATGCAAACTTACGCTCGGATTTGTTGTGCTTTTAATTGCATATTAGCTGTCATTTTACAAAAAATACAGTAAAAATGTAGTAAAAACACAACAAATATCTTATTTATTTAATATTTTTTTTTGTAAATTTGCTGCACTTTAACAAATAATCAACAAAAGCACAGCAAAAAAAATAGCTAATAAGTAATTAAATTATATATTATCTATTTTTTTGCAAAAATACAGTAAAAGGACAATAAAATACAACAAATAACAACATAAGCTTGGGTGCAATAATTTGCCTATTTTAGATGGTTTTGTAATGATCCCATCTGTTCAATTTGCAAAAAAAAAGTTTGCGAACTAGTAATCCACTGTTGTTTGTCCGAGTGGTTAAGAGCCGGTTGGGCAAAAGTCTAGGTCCCTGATTCGAATCCCTTGGTGTGGTTTACATATTAGGTTGATTGGAGTTTTTATGACCTAAGGAAAGGCTTCATCATTAAAAAAAAAAAAAAAAAAAAACTGGTAAACCCAGGCCACGCAGCCGATTCGTGCACGTAAAAGCCTGGTTGGCGTACGCAAGGGAAGTCGAACTCGCCACTATACATATTTCCAGTTCATTTTTTCTTCTTACAGGAAAAAACAGATGCCCTCTCTCCTCCCGCAAATCTCAAAGCCCGAAGCAAAAATATCTTCCAGTTTTCTTCGCTGTCCAAATCTCCCCTCGAGCGAGAATGGCTGCGGCGCTTCTCTTAACCAACCTTGCGCTTCTCCTCCCTGAAGCCTATTTGCCATCTAGGAAACGAGATCCGCCATTAATAGTGACGACGAGTACGACGGCAGAGAGGCGTCGGCCTGAAGCCGCGGTATCCAAGTTCTATCTTCCATCCCTCCTCGCCACCGGAGGAGAGACGTCTCATCCAACACCGCCGCTGCCGATTCACCGCCGTAAGAAAACCAAGCTGGGTCCGGCCGCTGCTTCCTCTTCCTCACCTTCACCGCCTTCCGGTGGTGGTGGCGGGGGTGATTGGGAACAAGAGCTTCTCAATCGGCTCAAGGAACTGGAAGATATGAAGGAGCTTGAGAGGCGCGCTGAGGAGCTTCAGAGCCCTAGTGCCCCTGACGCTGCTGAAGAGGAGGGCGACGGGGGCGGCGAGGACGAGAGCGAGGAGGAAAAGCGCGAGCGCGTCCGTCGTGAGCTCGAGAAGGTCGGCCTCTTCTTCGATTCACGATAGAATTAAATGATTTTGTTGGATTTAAAAGTACAAATTGAAGAATTTGCTGTTTACTTTTTTTCCTTTTTATTATATTTGTTATAAGAGTAGCTGGCCAAGGAGCAGGCGGAGCGGAGGGAGACGGCCAAGTTAATGTTTGAGCTGGGACAGAAGGCATATGGCAAGGGCATGTATTCCAGGGCCATCGAATTTTTAGAAGCAGCTCTCACCATTATCCCTAGGCCAACACTCTTTGGTGGAGAGGTGATTTTATTAGTTCTTGTAAAATTCTTGATTCATTTTTTGGACTACTTCGAAGAGAATTGTGACGCATTTCTGAACTGCTATATGTTTGTGAGCCTAATAGTAGCATACCAGGTTATGATTTGTTATATTGAAATCCAACGTTTAAAGGTTTATATACTCTAGGTGAGGTGCTTTCTGTTTCAACGATATGCTATCTTTTTCTTGTTTCATTGCTTTTTCTTAAAACTGATGCTAGATCAATTATTTTATGCAAGGGAATTAGTTCATGATCTAATTGAAATCATTGTGAGTAAATAATTAGAAGAAAATCAATACACAAAAACTTGTAGAGTTTTTATTCAGGTCCGCCTCATTGTGTCTACTTCTTGTTTTTGTTTTGTAGTTTCCACTATGATGACGATGATGAAGTTTTTGTTGGAGAAATGCACAGTGTCATGCATTTTCTACATTTTTTTAAGTCTATTGTGTTGAAACTCTAAGAATGACACCACCTTTTTATAATGAAAATAGAAGGAAACTAAAATTATATGTAAAATCCCTAAAAATATCCTTAATGAAATGATTTGTGAATATTTTATATATTTTTTGGGTCTTCTCCCACCAGCCCTTTGAATGGGACTTTTTTTTTTTTTTAATTTTTTTTTTATTCGAATGGGACTTCCCACTCCCTTACCATACCTCACCGCAATAATACTTTGAGTTTGGTCTTTGTATTATTTCTATGTAGGACTTTTTCTATAAGGCATTAATTTGGCTCAGCAACTCCGCAAGTAGCTTAGCGTTTAAAGGCATAATTGTATTCCTTTTCATTGTGGTTTATAGAAGTGTAAGTTGTCACTTCTAATAGCTTAGCGATTAGAGGCATAAACTTATTCCTTTGATTGTGGTTTATAGAAGAGGAAGTTGTCACTTTAATTTTCGTCGACTTATGTTTTTATATGTTCTTCATGCGTTGAAGGCAAATTTTTTGGATGGGTTGATGCAGTTTTTGAAGGTTGGTTTTCTTATATACCACTAGATGGATGTTGCAATGTAGGCAACTTTTGAATATTGTAAATGTAATCATTGTCAAACAAAGCCCATCAGAAATGTTCATATGTCTTATATAGTACGTGTAGACGTATTCTGATGCAAGCTATAATTAAATCATTTTTCGTGGAATGGAAGGATTAGTCTAGCCTCAAGATGTCATTTATACTTAATAAGTCTGACTATAATGATAATAGGTTTACTTATGCTTGCAACTAAAATTTAGAAGTTTTTCTTAATTCTTTCTTGCATTTCAGATTCAAATTTGGCTTGCAATGGCTTATGAGGCCAACAATAGACACAGGGATTGCATTGCTCTCTATCAACAATTAGAGAAGAAGCACCCTAGTGTTAGCATCAGACGCCAAGCTGCGGAGCTTCGGTATATTTTGCAAGCACCAAAGCTCAAGATATCTGAGGATGAGATGGTCACAATTCCACTAATTGGCTCTAGTTATGACAGGTTTGTTTAGTTATACTCTATTTAATTTGTGCCAATAGTTGGTTTGATGGTAATGAATGATATTGCATTTCATCCTATTTTTATTTCAATGTTCTAGTACTCCTGAACACATTGCATATATTGCATTCAACAATCAACAATCCCAAGAGGAAACAAAAAGAAACCTAAGGCCAAATCAACCCCTAAGAATGAACAGAAAATAAACTACAATCCCTCTCAAGAATGTCAATAAATTCTTGAATCATATCTTCAATCTTCCAAAAGAATTGTCACTCTATGGTCCTCTGAGCACAAAAATGGGTAGCTTTATTGCATCTCGACAAATGTACAAACAAAATTAAGTGGTGCATCTTCAACCAACCAAACTAGTCACTTTCATGTGGCCGATCTTTCCACTCATCATGCTTCCTTAATTTTTGCTTATGCTTGATGATACTGGTGTTATCCCTTTCTATAAGCACACCTTTCATCTCGAGCATCCAATCATCAATTACCTTATTAATGTACTTCATGAATAGAGTTTTCACCATATTGTAAGGAGAATAGTTTAGGGTAGAGAGTGTTTGCTTGAGAGATGTTCTCCTCAAAGTAGGTATAACAAAGAAAATGTTACTTTTCTTTGGTAATCTCTTGTGATGGTCTTACATGTGGCTCAAGAGGGGGTTGAATTAAGAGGCTTGCTATAATTCATTTTGCTTCAATTGATGAATAATTTTGCAAGCGTTCATGATTAATTAGTAAGCCTCCATATCACTGGTCCAATTCATTATGGAGGCGTACTAATAATTAATTTTTTATGTCAATTCTTTGTCTCATTATGGAGCAGGCACAATGAGTTTGCGAAAACTAGTAAACTTTAACGGAGAGTAGCTAACGTTTTCAAAATTTCATATTTTGATTTCCTCATATTTTCTGTAACCCATTTTTGTAAAATTTGTTTAGTAAATAGATCATATGATATTTCAAACTATTTTAAAAATATTACCTTAATTATTGTATTAAATAATATATAATAATAAGTGAAAACACCCTTCTTGATTTTAATATAGTTTGAGTTTCTGTTTTTTGGGCTTGCTAACTTCTTAGACTTCTCTTTCACATGTTTTGTATATATGAAGATCAAATAAAATATTCCTAATCTATGGAGCCATTTTTATATGTTGAGTGGATAGTGAAACTTATTTATCTGCACAAACTTAAATGAAACCATTAGACATAATTTCTTAGGGGATGTTTGAGATTAGTTTTTGTTTTGTTATTAAAAACATTTTTTTTGCACTTTTCAGCTATTTTTGTTTTTTTTTGAAAACAAAGCATGTTGTTTTTGAAAATTCTCAAATATCTTTTAGGTGTTTTCGATTTTTTTTAAATGAAAACCACTTCGGAAATCGCCTGCTATCGTTCGCCATCGATCATTGTCACTGTTAACCACAATCACAACATGTCATCGCTGTCTTATGCAATATGCAATAAAAGTAAAACAATGCTTATTTATGATATAATATATATTTTATTTCATAATAAAATTTTTTTAAATGAAAACCACTTCGGAAATCGCCTGCTATCGTTCGCCATCGATCATTGTCACTGTTAACCACAATCACAACATGTCATCGCTGTCTTATGCAATATGCAATAAAAGTAAAACAATGCTTATTTATGATATAATATATATTTTATTTCATAATAAAACCGAGCAAAAAAATTAAAACAAACAAAAAATAAAAACAAAATCGCCTGCTATTATTTGCCATCGATCATTGTTACTGCCAATTACAATCACAACCTGCCACTACTGTCTTTTGTAATATGCAATAAAAATAAAACAATGCTTATTTTTGTTACCATATACATTTTATTTCATAATAAAACACAAGCAAAAAGAATTAAAAAAAAAAAAACAAAATAAAAAGTGATACTTAATAGCCACTTATTGTAACTTGTCATCAAAATCAAATTATGTAGCGTGAGCTCATAGGGTTAGGAATCTCCCGCCATGTATATATCATATATAATAATATATATGATATCATGATTAGAAAAAGGCATTTTTTCATGATAAGTCCAAAGAAGTGCTATGGAGAGTTCTTGAAAAAAAGGATGTAATAATGCTTTTAATTAAATCATTAATTATGTATGCAGGCTATTTACTTGTGTTCAAACACAAGGTGGTTGACCAAGTATTTTTCTTTCGGTTGGATTACATCAAGGATTAGCCTTAGTCCATATCTTTTTTCTTAGTCATGGATGCTCTCACTAGACATTTGCAAAGGATTACCTTGGTGCATGCTTTTTGCTGATGATATTCTTCTGGTGATAAGACTAGAGGAGAGTTGAAGGTAAACTTGAATTATGGAGGTCAACTTAGATTCTAAGGTTTTTGCTTGAGTAGATCTAAAACTGAATATATGAAGTGTAATTTTAGTGGAAATAGACCTAGTGAGGGGATTGTGACTTTGGGCGATCAAGTCATTAATAAGAGTACACGTTTTAGATATCTTGGATCTATGTTTAGGATGATGGTGAAATTGATGGGGATATTATCAGCAAAATTCAATTGGATGGTTGAAGGAGAATGCATCCGGCTATTGTGCGATAGAAAGTCCCCCTCAAACTTAAAAAATTCTATAAGATGTGGTGAGACCTGCAATGCTTTATGTGTCCGAATGTTGCCATTTAAAGGAAGCATAATATTAAGTTAAGTGTTACAGAGATGAGGATGCTTAGGTGGATGAGTTGAAGATGAGATTAGAGAGAGTCACCTTAGATGGTTTGGTCACATTAAACGGAGGCCTTCCGATGACCCATTTAGGAAAGTTGAGGTATTAGATTTGGCTTATGTAAGAAAGTAGAGATACACCTCAAAAAGACTTGTTTAGAAAATATTAGAAATGATATTTCTTTATTAGATTTAGATGGAAATTTGACTTTTAACACACAATGGCAAAAAAGGGTTCATGTAGCCGACCCACGTAGTGGACAAAAGTTTGATGTTGTTGTTGTTGTTGTGATGATGATATATATAATTAATTATAAAATATATATATATATAATATATATTTTCTCCCCAAAAAAAATAACATATAAAAAAGAGAGCTAGTCATGATAATCACCTATTCTAAGTATAATGAATTAGCAATACTTCAACATAATAATCATTACTATTCCCTCTCTCTCATTCTTCAAAATGTTGGGGTCCTCTACATAAATATCAATATAACAACAAAATCTTAACCCTAAAAACAACCAAAGTCATAGCAAGACTTTAAAATAACTATGGATCATCATGATCATTTTAATCCATTATAGTGAATATCTCTAGGTGTCTTACTCGTCTTTGGTCCGATGTTGGATTAATAGCATCCCTCTACACTTGTGATTGGATTCATAATACACAAATACCGCAAAAGATGAGAAAAGATAGCCTAAATTATGTTAAATTTCAGTGTGCTGTAAGAACCTAGGCCACTAAAAAAAAAATGTGGGTTTCATTTTTTTCAATTCATTGGTCTTCGATAAAAGAAATGGCCTTTAAAAGTATTTATGAAATAGCGTTTTTAAGATAAGAAGTTATACTCATGATATGGCGAGGGAATTGCTTGCAGTAGCAGTCTGACTCTAGTCATTTGCATCAATTGATTATATTTAGAGTGAATATGTTGAAGATGAATTTAGGGTATGTAGGCATGTGTCATCTGACGTATTTATATTATTAAAGAAATATTTTAGAAAAATTAGACTTAAAACTGACAACCTCTTTTGAAAAAACTATAGGTAAAGCTCTCCAAACAAATGCATGATATGGCAACCAAAGTCTTTTGAATGGTCAATATAAGAGGTAGAAGTTAATTTAAGCTTTAGATATTGGAATAGAAGCATAAGCATAGACCAAGAGGATGGAAGCTCATTTTGTCTTGATCTCTTGCGATGGCATGGACATTAGATGGTATGATGAAAAGAAGGAGATCAAAATGCCACATAATAAGGGCTTTAGTTTTATAATTGCTATAAGTATGATTAATTTTGCATTTAATGGTTATCTACCTTGCCTTGTAACCTTAAGTGTCAAGCAGGACAATTTAGTCAACTCTGGCATCAAAAATATACTTCAAAATATATTTTTAGAGTTAACAGGCAACGACAAGTTTTGCATGTAGCTGTTAATAGAGGTTTCTCACTAACCTTAATGATCTTATTAAGCCTCCAAAATATTATTTTTGAATTTTTTATGAAATTTGGTTAGTTTATCAAAATGTTAACTATTTTAAGAGGACTTATCTCTATTATACTTGTGAACATTTTTGTTTTATGTGTTACTATATTGGATCGAGCATAAGCAAACCATCATGTAATGGAACAAAAACAATTTCTGCATTAAAGGTCTTTATAATAAGTTCAACAATATTGAATCGGTTCTCATCTGGTTATCACAAACTCTACTACTACATAACCTCCAACTACGTGATTTAATGAACTGATGTCTATTCTTATATGCTTTTATTTGTTGACAAATTGAACCATGTCTTTATTTATTATGTTCTTTGTTATTCATATTGATAAGATATGATTGATTCACCAATCCATTTATCTTCTAATTGTTTCTTAAGCCATAAGAACATTTTTGACATAGTACTGCTAAAACTACTAAACCACTTATAGTGAATGTGCATTAGAATTTTTGCTTCTATTGGACCAAATACTAGAGACATTCATAGATAATTGATATAATGTTTGTTGTGTTTTTTTATCATACTTTTTTTGCATCTCTGTATATGCCGCAGTGGAAACCCTACAAGCTCTATGAATGTCATTCTGTAGGATACCATGACCCTGAAATCTTGGAAGTGCGTAATAAATTTTTATCTAAAAATCATTTAACTTTTAAATTGCGTCCTTTTTGAATTTGCTTGAAAATTTTATTATGTAGAGAACTACAACAAACTTTAATATAATGACTATTGGATATCAAATATAATTAGAATCTTGTCACCTTTCTGTAA